TAGATGCTTGATCTTGCAGTCTCCTGAAGATATGGAACCTGAACGATTTCAATGGAGTCATTGGGGTCTTCAACTGCCAGGGAGCTGGATGGTGCAGGGTCGGAAAGACAAACCTTATCCATGACGAAAATCCTGGCACGATCACAGGTTTTGTTAGGGCTAAAGATGTTGATTATCTCCCTAGAGTCGCTTGTGACGGATGGACAGGCGATAGTGTATTGTATTCTCATGTTGGTGGTATGTTTATTCAGGGCTCAGATGTTTCTTTCATACAGCTAAATTTACACTTGGGCATGCATTGTTTGGACAAAATCACGGTCTTTCTTAACAAGTTTCTCTAATGTCAATTGCAGGAGAAGTAGTTTACCTTCCAAAGGATGCAGCTATGCCACTCACATTGAAGTCTCGCGAGTATGAAGTTTTCACAGTGGTTCCTGTAAGGGAGCTAGCCAATGGGGTTAAATTTGCCCCCGTGGGTCTAGTCAAGATGTTTAATTCAGGAGGGGCTATCAAGGAGCTGCAATATGACTCCAGCGCAACTGCGACTGTCAGCATGAAAGCTCGTGGCTGCGGCTTGTTTGGAGCATATTCATCTGCTCAACCCAAGAGAATATCAGTTGATTCTAAGGAAGTAGAGTTCGGTTTTGAAGAAGGAACTGGCTTGGTCACCATTGATTTGAGAGTTCCAGAGGAAGAGTTGTATCTCTGGAACATAACAGTAGAACTATAAAGGCTTTAGAAGATCTGTATCTGTAGCATTAGAGGAACTCGAAACAATAGTGTTGTCGTGAGCCCCATCATTTCTTCATAGCTTCTGCATAAGGGCTTCTATAGATCTGTAGGATGCATCAATGCTGATAGCTTGGGAATAAGTCAGGTAGAAGATCATCATTTCCCGCCATTCTCGTTCATATTCCTGGCAATTTGCAAGGAAAATTTGGGTAATCAACTCGAGACCTAAATTAAGATTGCAATTCATTTATGTGCTATGCAAATCATCGACCCGATCCGGCCTCTAATCTATTTTTTTGTAAGAATTACTTTTTTCAAAACCAAATCATTAAAACATTGAAATGATATCATTTTAGATTATTAGCCGTATTAATTCAAATAAATCACTTAAATAACGGCTTCAATTTCCGGGGAAAAAATAACGTGCTTTACAGCTTTCTCTTTTTTTATTTTTCGGCGGGTGAGGACTTGGGATTGTCCACTTTACAGGTTGAATTACACTGAATTTTGGTATGTGTTGGTCAACATGCTTATCTACATTTTCACCGTTGGGATTCGCCTGTTTGTGATTTTACTGCGAGTTATTCCCGTTTGAATCTTCTGTCACTTTAGCAACCCGCTGAATTGCTTTGCTGTAGCAACTTGGATATTGTTGCATTTGGGATACCGTTGCTCTAGAGTTTTTCCGCCGGAGATTAAAATGATCTTGCGAGTCCATCCGGTAATATTGTAGAGGGTGAGTAGAAGAAAAATATATCCAAAAAGCATACCGATCCAGAGATGGATGCCAGACCTATGGCCACCGGAGTGTGCTGCTTTCTATGGGTTTTCTCTCTAGCTTCTCTCTTTTTCTCCAAGTTGTGGCCGGCTATCAATGGCTTCCGAAAGAAGCCAGCAGGGTATTTATATCGTCTGTTTCATTGTCAATTACAGCAATGCCCCTCTAATCTAATCTTAATTATTTTTCAGTTCAACCGATATTCTACATCGGCGTACTTTTAAAATAACTTATACAAAGTTTTTAATATTTAAAACTCATTTCAATCCATTCAATATCTTTTTAATTTATTTTTTATTAATTTTAATTTATTTTTAAATTAAATTTAAATTTTTATTAATATTAAAAAATTCAGGTCAAAAGTTTATAACTTAATTCATGAAATGAAACTTAACCTGAATCATAAATAAAATTGGGTTTAATAAATATAAATGAATATAAACTTGTAAATTAGGATTATTTAAAATAAATAATTTATTTATAATTAGTAAAACAAAACTAAAAAAGCATATCAGGAATCGGGTGGTGGATTGTAATTTTTTAAACCTGTTCAATTTACATTTATTTCATCTTTATTTTTGATAATTTATAGATTTAGTATTTATTTTTATTTTATTAAAAAAATTTAACTATAAAGTTATTGTTAATGTACTTTATTTTATAATTCTTTAACATATCAAAAAAAAATTTATATTTTTTTCAAAGAAAAAATAATTAGAATTTAATAAGGATGTATAATATAAAAATTAGATCTAATATTGAGGTTGACATGATATCTATAGTATGTATTATATGTTTATTTTAAAAATAAAATAAATAAAAATTAATAATTAAAAAAATATATAATATTTATAAAAATTTAATTCAATTTAATACATATAACCTGATTGGGTTAAAAAAATTGAATGGATTGTGTTAATAATTTATAAAATATTCGAATGTTGTACGTAATTATGAACTTAAATCAGAATTAAACATCCTCTTCAAAACGACGTAGTTTGTATCTGCCTTGGCCACGTCATCTCTAGCTATGGCAAGAATCAAGATCTCTAAAGGGTATCGTTCCTCAACCTTCCCAAAAATGAAAAGCTTCGGCCCCTAAACCCTCACATCCACGGGCACAGAGAGAGAGGGAGAGAGATGTTTCAAAGCAGAGTGTTTGCTTCAATCTTGAAGAGAAACAAAGGAGGATCCATCATCAACAATGCAATAACCAATCTCAGAGGAACAAAAACAACACCTTTCAATCACTTGAGAGACATCCATCAACAACAGAGCCCATCATCAAGATCCTTCCTTTATTGCTTCAAATCACTCTCCAAGGTAAAAATCCTTTGTTTCCATCTGGATTTCCTCAAATGATCTGAAATCAGAAAAACCCCTGCTTTTTATCTTATAAAGTTTGAATCTCTGGTTAAATTTTCAGGGTCATAACTGTCAGTATGTGCCATCAGCAACGAGGAAAATGTCAACTGTAGCTGCTTCTGTTGGAAGTGAAAGTAAAGAGAGTCTTAGATTGCTGGTAAATGGAGGGCCTAAAGCGCAAAAAATGGTGGGTATATGGCTATTTGGTTCTGCTGCTTGGGTTTTCAGCATGGTGATTCTTGGTGGTGTTACACGGTTAACAAGGTCTGGTCTTTCAATGACTGATTGGAAATTTACTGGTGGTCTTCCTCCTTTATCAAACGAGGACTGGTTGATTGAGTTTGAGAAGTATAAACAATCACCTGAGTATAAAATGTAAGCTCTTGCAAGCAATGAAAGTAGTCTTTTTTAGTTAAGAGTAAGTTCATTTTGTAGAATTAGTAATTTTTTAGTTTTGTTTTCTGATATTTTGCAGTGTAAATAAAGGGATGAATGTTGAGGATTTCAAATTTATTTACTGGATGGAATATGCACATCGGATGTGGGGAAGGGGATTAGGGATCATTTTTGCTTTGCCATTTTCATGGTTTCTGAGAAAAGGGTATGTGACAGTGAGACTTGGAACTAAACTTTGTGGTCTTTTTGCTCTCGGTGCTGGCCAAGGTTTAATTGGTTGGTGGATGGTTAAAAGTGGTTTAGAGGTAAAAAAAAACTTAACTTTGGTGTTAATTGAGTGTGAATTTGTGCAAAATGGCGAGACTTATGAGTGACTTTGTTATACGCAGGAGCCAGCATCTGAATATGCTCAGCCGAGAGTAAGCCCTTACCGTCTTGCAGCGCATCTTACTTCGGCATTTGTTATTTATAGTGGGCTTTTCTGGACCGCTCTTTCTGTTGTAATGCCTGAACCCCCTGCGGAATCTTTAGCTTGGGTTCGTGGGGCGGCGAAGGTAAAGAGGCTTGCCCTTCCTGTAAGCCTTATTGTAGGGGTTACTGCCGTGTCAGGAGCATTTGTAGCTGGAAATGATGCTGTATGTAGTCTATTTTAATTCTTTTCTTGTTCCTCTTCTTTCACAAGAGTATTTTAGCCTGTGGTATGATTATAAACAAATTCTCTGGTGCATGCTTACATACAAATTTTTGATCATGCTTTTTCCGTGTAATGCAGGGGCATGCATTTAACACTTTCCCAAAGATGGGTGATACATGGATTCCTGATGATATATTTGATTTGAAACCAGTAATTCACAACTTTTTTGAAAATACATCGACAGTGCAGGTAATTTGTCTGTATAATTTATCAATTCTGGAATCGTAGTTTTCATAATGATCACAGAAGTGCAAATTCTTAGTTTAGACTCTTATAAAATATGGGAATGGAATTTACATAATGTAATGGATAGAAGGAACAATGAAGAAACGAGAAGAGGCATGCCTTGAAGTTTCTTTCTGAATGAGGAGAGAAATTTAGAGCTTGCTCTTCATTTTTAGCCTTTACACCTATTGCAGTTAAGTGGCCTGGAACTATATTAAAACCACTTGTTCATACAGTCTCATATTGGGCCTCAAGATAAATAGTGAAACTCACTTGCCCAGAATAACAAACAAGGGTTTTTAACTGTCCTTGGGAGCTTAAAGAAACCCTGATTCCTGCAGTTTTGTAAATAACTTAAAACTCACAGATGATGTTACAAGTTTGTTATTTAGCTTTTCAAATGATATCTTCTTGTTCACCGGCATATAAAAGATTCTATAAACATTAGGTATTGGACACTGATTTGTCTTTCTTGAATGTTTGTAGCTTGAGCACCGTATCCTTGCAATCACAAGCTTGACTTCAATTGGTGCTTTATGGTGGTTCACAAGAAAGTTGGACATACATCCAGCTGTGAAATCTTTGATTGGGGCGACTGTTGGCATGGCTACTCTTCAGGTGAGTCTCCTAATCCATGGATGCTCTCTCCATTATCAACTACTTTTCCCAGGTTCCATGGTCATATTTGTCATTGTTGCAGGTATCCCTGGGGATATCAACCCTTCTATCATATGTTCCTGTATCACTAGGAACTGCACATCAGGCTGGGGCTTTAACACTCCTGACGTTTATGATTCTGCTCAATCACACTGTGCGGAAGCCATCCGCATCTCTTCTTAAGTCACTGCCTCAAGTTGTGAAGACAGCCATGTGATGAGCCTAGAACTTTGCAAGGAGAACTAGGTTAGTTTAATCAAATAGAGATTCTTTTACTGGACTCCTGATGTTGTTATAATTCAATTTAATATTCATAATTAGGATCCACTATTTGAGGGCAAAAGAGGGACCGTGTTCTTGGTTTGCTTGTATTGCGGAAGCATTAGGAACATGCAAACCCCATCATTTTGTATTAATTGAAATTTGAGTTGTCAACGAATTTGCATCTTGATATTTTGGAGATCTCTGCCTCCACCTTTAGATGTTCTCTTAAGTGATGTTATGCTAAGTATTCGTTTATTGAAAACTTTTAGTCTATTTCTCCGTCTTTTACATGTGATATCATAATAACATAAAATAATGTTTTGTCATGGAAAAAAAAAAAACTTTCACTTCACGTGACAAACACTAGCCCCATTTCATTTCTGTTTATTTCTATAGCATTATGGATAGATATGATTACTGGCATTGCTGCACCGGTTGGCACATTGCGACGCTGAAAATGGTGCCATTGCCACTGGATGAGGAAATTTTTTGTAGGCTTGTGTTGTCCACGCAACTTACACCCCCCCCCGCCCCCCCAAAAAAAAAAAAAAAAAAAAAAAACCACCCCCCCCCCCCCCCCCCCAAAAAAAAAAAAAAAAAAAAAAAAACCAAAGAGATGTAACACACCAATCAATGGCCGATCGTAGTCATCACCCAAGACAACAGCAGCTCTCCACTGCTGGTTCTCGCAAACTCTCAGGCAGCTCATTGGTCTATGCATCAGCAGCTTGCTTGGCAACAGGCGGCCCACTTCTTGGCATGTCAGGGCTCAGTTTCCTGGCATCCTTGACACTGCTTTTAATAACTTCACCTCTCTTGTTGATCTTTAGACCCTTAATACTTGGTGCTCCCCTTGTGCTTGTTGGTGCTACCGCTCTGGTTTTGCTACAATGATGGGGCTTGCTGGAATGGCCATGATTGTTTGGATAGTGAGGTCAGTTTTTATAGGGAGAGAAGATGGTTTTGGCAGTGATGATGTCGTGGATATGATCAAGTAGGCTGGTGAGAGAGTAAAGGAGAATGGCCAAGAATGAGCAGCAAGGTATTTGCAGCAGAAAATGCAAGAGAACATCCCAGTTGAGAATAGGGCTGACAGAAGCTGAGCTGAGCTTTATACGAGGGCTGTGCTATGTTTTCTTTGCCCCCCGAGTACTGGAGCTTCTGGTGGTCCATTCTTGGGGGGTTGCACAGGCTTGAAAGCAGCACTTTGGACTCTTTGCCAATGAAATGAAATATGAGGTCGTGTTTCAAACGAGATATGATTCACTATTGATAGTGATTTGATTATAGTTATTTGCGTATTTTTTTGTTTAATTAATTTTAATAATAAGTTTTTTTTCGTCATGAAGTTCAATGTTTTGGGATCCTTAAAATCAGTGTCTTTGCCACTTCAATAGAAAATGTTTCAATATCTTGTTGTATCTCTTTAATTCATGTACATTAAGAAGATTCGGATTTTATACATATAATATATGGTTGATCATTCCATTTACTATTTACTAAAGAAGTTCCAAGGGAGTTCATGAACGCAAATAGTGGTAAGAATCCAATGCCTTGAAATCCTGGAAGTTCCCTCGCAAGTTCGTCCACAAGTTGTGGGATGAGTCCCTCAGGGCCTCAGATTAGGCTGAAAGGCGTAATCAATCAAATATTAGAAGATATAGCGATGGTTACCAAAAAATCTAAAGGCTTGATTTTTCAAAGCAATAAATTGAAAAGTAGAATAACGCCTCGCTTTTCTTTAGCGGTTGCTGTGAGAAGTTGGAACTTTTTTTCTTGGAAAAAGGATATCCCTTTGTTTCTTAAAGCTGAAAACATCTTCTTTCTCTCTCTCTTGTAGACTAAAATCGATTATAAAAGCAATATTCTTCCCCTTCCCCCCTTCTTTCTTGTACAAAAGATCCTTTCTTTAACCTTTTCATTTTTCATTTTTAATTCTCTCATGAGTGACATCAAGCATAGATGCTCCTTTTTTTCTTTTTTCCCTCTTGATACGAGATTATTTTCACTTTTTAGGAGATTAGGAACAAAATAACATCAAAGTCCTTTAAAGAATAATTTTTGTCATCCAATAAAATAATACCATGTGATTCGGGAAATATAATATAAACAAATTTGAAAAAAATATGATTTTGAAACTATGAAAAAAACATCCTCGAGAACATAAAATCTTGATATATTGTCGAGATTATGAACAAATTACTGTTTTATTTGACTATATAAATATAAGTTCTCCACAATTGTTTTTGTGTTTTCTTCTATATAACATAACCGATTTTTTCTTAATTTTTTTATGACAAATCAAAATTAACAAGTTAGGCCTTTTTTTTTTTGTTCATATATAGTTTTTTTTTTCAGTTTCTTATGTATAAAAAAAACCTTTATTATTTTATCCGGAACACAGCAATTATTCATCCACTTTCCATGATCAGAAACTCTAATAATTAATAAAATCCAACATGATTTTCTAATGATTAAGAGGATGTAATATATTAGGTTTGGGGAACAAATTCGCATGAACAAATTAATTATTTACTCTAAAGAAAATCGTTGTAAAGTTCAGCTCATGAGTTTACAAGTCGAGAGTGTCAGTATAGATATATTTTATTTTTTTTTAAATTTAATTAATTGTGATTTGAGTTTTGACATGATTAGGTTTAGGTCAATTAAATTAATAAATCAACTTGATTTTTTAACTGAATTTTTTTCTTTTTTCTAGTTTAAATTTTAAATTAACCAGCTAAAATGTAGGCGGAAATAGAAAAGAAACGGCCGTGGAAGGGAAGGTTTTTAATAAATAGAGAAAAGAAGTGCTGTCTTTGTCCACTTCTATCAACCTCCGAGACTTCCTCGATACACCACCGCTGATTCAATTATATATATATATATATATAGACTTCTCAACCTGGAAATTCTTCTGCTACGGCTGTCTTGTCTACAATTACCATAATCAATAAAATAATATTTATAATAAAATCTCTCTTTTTTTCCTTGCTATACCTGATTATTTGGTAGAAATTAGATTTTTTTAGAATAATAAAAAAACAAACTTTTAATTTTTTAAATTTTTGATAGTTTTATAAAAAATAAATTTGAAGATATTTTACAATGTGTGACTATGTTATAGAAAATAAATGGAAAAATAACTTATTAATATTTTAATTTTTTTATTTATTAAAATTGTAAATACTAAATCTAACTAATAAAAAAGTTGGTGGAGAAAAAATTAAAGAAATTAATTTTATAAATTATTTTAAATAAAATAAATATAATTAAAATAATAAAAATTAAATGTGATAAAAAATTTAAAAGATGATAAAATTAAAAAAATAATTATAATTTTATAAATTATTTCAATAAAATTACATTTAAAATAATAAGAATCAAATTTCATATATAAAAATTTTAATTATAAAAAAATAAATAACAATAAAAAAATTAAATTAAATTTCAGAAAAAAATTAAAAAATAAAACTAAATTATCTTGAAAAAAAATTCAAATCAAATCATCATATAGTAATTAAAAATTAAAAATCAAATCTAATATAATTAGAAATTTAATCTATACTTTTATGTGAACTAAACCAAATAATATTTTCTATTATTGACCAATTCTTGTAACAGTAGGCATGTACAAGAAAAAATAAAAATAAAAAAGTAGTTTCCAAAAACAGCTTTTCATGTAACAAACGGGCTAAATAAAACCAAAAACCAAGCGAAGAAGACGGTCAATTCAATTGCCACTGCACCTCACAAAAATTATACACATAACCCAATTTTTAATTATTAGTGATAAATAAAAAAGCAGCTGTTTTTTGCTGGTGGGTTCTTTTCTTTCTCTTCTTCTTTTTACTTGCAGCTTTTTTGGTTTTTTTTTTTGACATCCTCTGCATGTGTCTGTAAAGGTTTGTTCTTTTTCAGATCCCCTCTCATCATGCCTGCCATTTTTCTTTTTTGATTACATTTTGTTATTTGATTGGACTTTTTATCTGGTTTTACTTATACATTGAGCCCATGTTGTAATTAGGTGGATTTCAATGGTTTGAGTTAAGCCCTTTTGTTTGGAAATTGGGTTGGAACTTGAAATGAATGAAAGAAAAATTGAACTTTATCTTAAAGATTGTTTTTTTGATGGTTTTTACGTTGGTAGGGTAGGAGTTTTAGGATGGTATCATAGGGTGTCTGTGGCGGTGTAAATAGGTTGGTAATGTTGTTTCTTGTTTTGTTGCATTGTGAATCCAGGAACCCTTTCCTTTTAGGTTGACGAAACGACTGTGAGCAGACACTGTGCTGCGGTGCGCATTCATGGATGTGGAAATAAATTTATGCTTACAATAATTCAATAACATGGATCAAAAGTTGCAAGTTGCAGGGACTCAATCCCAACTTGAAGTAAGTTGTTTGCTTGTTCATTCCTTTTAATTACCATTGCTACTAGTAGGAAAATATGCAGGATCCTTATCTTGCTGTGTTTCATGGTTCAATGTTCATTCTATGTATAATATCTTAAATTTCTTATTGAAACTTTAGTTGCTAGACAAAGTCCACCTGCGTTTTGTTGCATGATTATGAAAAATGGAAATATAGGTTTGAGAGGTTTTAGTAGAAAAACTAATCCTTTATAGTAACAGATGGGATCATTGGCTGCAAGTGGGTCATCACATGAGTTTGAGGATGAGAGTCTTTTTAGCCCTGAGTCAGTGATTCAAAAGATGCAACTTGGTCATATATCTGATTATGGATCAGCTCCTGGTGGTTTCCAACCTGGTGGTAGTAAGATGGGGAAGAATGTTGTGTATAAGAGCATAAAGACTGTAGTTTTTTCAAATAAACTCAATTTGCTCATAGCTTTTGGGCCTCTCACTATCCTCGTCCACATTTTGACTGGGCATAACGTAAGTTTATAATTTGCTGTATTTTGTTTAAGTTACCATGCATTATTGTTTAGTGTGGTTGTTAAATATTTTGAGGTTGGTCACAGGGATTGGTCTTCCTCCTGAGTCTATTGGGTATCATACCTTTGGCTGAACGTTTAGGTTATGCTACAGAGTAAGGATCAGACTTCTGCTTTTCAATTGTTTTTTTCTTCAATTCTGGTTTTTAATCGTCTAATGTTTGCTTGCGCACTCCTCTGACATAGGCAGCTAGCTATGTACACAGGACCTACAGGTATGGAATATTTATAACATCTATCTCATTCACAGTGTTTACTTCTATCAGTAGATTTTGTCATTGGTCTGAGCACATCTTTGAAATGAAATTTATATGCAGTTGGGGGCCTTCTAAATGCCACATTTGGAAATGCAACAGAACTCATCATAGCAATATATGCACTAAGAAACGGAATGATACGAGTTGTTCAGCTGTCATTATTAGGCTCAATTTTGTCAAACATGTTGTTGGTGCTTGGGTGTGCATTCTTCTGTGGCGGGCTTGTTTTTTACAGAAAAGAACAAGTTTTTAACAAGGTACATATATTAGCTTTGTTTTTTTCAAATGTTCATTATGCTCTCTCTTGTCTCTTTCTTATCATGGCTGGACTAATTTGCCATGCAGGCATCTGCTATTGTGAATTCAGGATTGCTGCTGATGGCAGTCATGGGGCTACTCTTTCCTGCTGTCCTGCATTTCACACACACCGAGGTGCACTATGGGAAGTCAGAGTTGGCTCTTTCGAGATTTAGTAGTTGCATTATGCTTGGGGTGTATGCTGCTTATCTTTTTTTCCAATTAAAGAGTCGAAAGGATCCATACATTCCTCTGTCTGAGGTTTGTTATTTTTGTATAATTTAATTGTCTACATAATTTTAGTGTTTTGGGAGGTCATAATCAGCAATCTGATGAATTTTGTGGACTCAGGATGAGAGTCAGAACAGGGAAAACGAAGGCGAAAACGATGAGACTCCCGAGATTGGTAAATGGGAATCAGTAATCTGGCTTCTGATAATGACAGCTTGGATCTCTGTCCTATCAGAATATTTAGTAGATGCCATAGAGGTAATATTCCACTGTCAGACTTTTCCTCTCCTTGTTTGATTAGATGAACACCTTGATTTTTTTTTCTTTTAATATTCTCTTGGGTATTTGTTGATTACCGAAGGACAAATTTTTCATGTTTTTTATGTAATGACGAGTTTAAGGTTGAAATAGTATCCAAGACCCTCTACAGTATACCACTTGGGTTTTCCATAGAATAAATTTTTTTGGTCACATGTTAGTGAATTTCTGCTGAGCTTGTTTGGTGGGTGATTGCTTTGTAGGGAACATCTCATGCATGGAATATACCAATTGCATTTATAGGGGTTATCTTGCTCCCAATTGTGGGGAATGCTGCAGAGCATGCTGGTGCTATTATGTTTGCTATGAAAGACAAGCTTGTAAGAAGATTAATTTCTTTCAGCTTCTTGTTTTTCCATACTATACCTTCTCATTACCGTAAATTACTTTGCAGGATATATCATTGGGAGTTGCAATAGGGTCATCAACACAGATATCTATGTTTGGAGTAAGTATTTCAAATCATGAAATGCAATCTACAAATTTGTTACAGTACTTTCTTTAGATTTCATTTTTTGTTCGTGGATATTTATTTCATCAGTATTTAGTAGATTCAGTCTTGAGTTTCGTATAGATATGAGTAGAACATGTATGTATTTGAAAGTTGTCTCCATGAATTGCTGATTATCTACCATTCCCTTGCAATGAGGAACCAGTGACTATTCCCAACTCCTGAACAATTCTGCAGTTTGGTTGGAATGTCCTTTCCAGCAATTGATAACTAAGCCTCAGTTGCAGACCAGTTACCATCCTTTTCACCTACTTTCTCCCATTGATCACTCTTCCTCACCGGTGTGTCTGTAGATGTATGATGGTATGGGCAACTCCTCTTACAATTTATCAATTAACCCATTTAGTCTATCCCCAACCGGTGCCATGTATTCAATCTTGAGCTAGAAACTTGGCCCTTAAAAACTAGCAGTTAGCCTCAATTGTTCTGTTTCAGCAAATACTGAAGATGTGTTATTTCATATGCTTTTGTAACCTCATCTGATGACAATGGAATGCCAATAATTTCATGACTCATCATTTATGGAAACTGAAAACTCAGGTGGTAGTCACACTGAGAGCTGTTCATTAAGATGCAACCTTTTTCTCGTGGCACAAGATGAGCCACTGATTTATGATCTTCAAGAAAACTAACTCCTCCCTGTTCCCTTGAAAATTGAAAGGAAAGAACTATGAAAAGTAGAGACATAAATAAGAGCTCTCAGTGTAACCTCATCTGATGACAATGGAATGCCAATAATTTCATGACTCATCATTCATGGAAACTGGAAACTCAGGTGGTAGTCACACTGAGAGCTGTTCGTTAAGATGCAACCTTTTTCTCTTGGCACAAGATGAGCCATTGATTTATGATCTTCAAGAAAACTAACTCCTCCCTGTTCCCTTACTTGAAAATTGAAAGGAAAGAACTATGAAAAGTAGAGACATAAATAAGAGCTTTGATATTTACTGCAGCAGTGAACTGGTGATGCTGTATACTGTCAAGAGTTGCTTCTATTTCAAGCATCTCATTTGTATGGTGTATGATTAAAAGATTTTTATTGTGATGCGCACATTCATGCATTAACTGATGTTGCTATTTGTGTCACATAAGATGTTGCTTTTGGCATAGTACCTTCTAAGATCTCTGTTGTTGTCATTACTTCAGATTCCCTTTTGTGTTGTTGTTGGGTGGATAATGGGGAAGCCCATGGACTTAAACTTTCAGCTTTTTGAGACTGCAACTCTTTTCATTACTGTCATCGTCGTTGCCTTCTTTCTGCAGGTTAGTATGTCCAAGATCTAGAGGAAAAATGATTCCTTATGCTTTGGTAAAATGCCTCTTAAAAAAGATAGGGAAATAATATCAACATGTATCCAAAAAAGGAAAATATTGTCAAGAATATGATTTAAAGACAGAAGGCAAAATGTTCTGGCTCCTCTATTGAGGAGGCTTACGACTTGTGTTATCCAGCTTGTCATTCATAAAATAAATCTTCATGCCTTTTGTGGTTACTTAACAAGCCATTCCTTAAGCGTTCATGTTATATTTGCAGGAAGGGTCTTCCAATTATTTCAAAGGATTGATGCTCATTCTTTGCTATGTAATTGTTGCTGCAAGTTTCTTTGTTCATGAAGATCCTCCTCCAGGTCAGCTCTGAACTCTCATTTAATCGCTTTCCAATTGAATAACTTATCATCTATTGAGCACTTGGGTTATTCTCTTTTCCCCTTCCTGCGTGTTTTTTCTTCATTTCACTTATGAAATGACCGTGAATGTGATTTTGCAGAGAAGTCATTAACACCTTAGTCAACGCGATGGCCAGTCTAAGAGGGTTGTCACCAAGAGTTGGTCTGTCATATTCTGGGGTACAGACACACACACACACTCAAAAAACAATATATTTTTCGGGGTTACCACTTGACCTTGTTCCTTTAGTAGCATTGAACAGGCATCTTGCTGGATTTTCTGTTCTTCCTCCAGGATATGCTTTCACCATACGCGGTCCACTTAGATGACAAGTTGAATTGTTTATAGTGTAGGAAGTGCAAAACCAAAACAACAAAAAATAAAAATAAAAATAAATATATATATAAAATTTTGTAATGTATCTCGTCTTTCTGGATATCTTTCCTTTATTTCCCATTTGTTAATTGCAGTGGGGAAACTCTATGATACTGGTGAGCATAGTTATTAAACCCGACCCGAAGGTTGACCCGGTCAAGGGACCGGGTCCCGGGTTTCAGGGGTCAACCCGGGTCGACTCGGAAAAATTAAAAAAATAAAGTTTTAATATTTCATATAAACAAATCTATATAAACATAAATTATACATATTATAAACAATGAAATTTAAAAGAATATTTTTTTAAAAAAATTATCTTACAATGAAAAGGCATAACTTTTTTTTTAGGAACATGTAGTATTTATACTAATAAGTTTAAGTTTCAAATCCCACGTTGAAAAAATATAATTTTTTTCTTGAAAATATATAGTATTTATACTAATAAGTTTCAAATCCCACATTGAAAAAACATTTCAAATTCCATATTGAAAAAACATGATTTTTTTCATGGGAGCATAGAGTATATATACTAAAGGGTTTCAAATCCTACATTGAAAAAATATTATGTTATCTTTTTAAGTTGAAGTATTTAAACTAAAAGATTTTTTATCCCACATTGAAAAAACATGAATTTTTTCTTGAGAATATAGAGTATATATACAAAAAGATTTTAAATCCCATATTGAAAAGATATTATATTATCCTTTTAAATTGAAGTATTTAAATCAAAAGATTTTTTTATCCCACATTGAATTTCTTGAAAACATGGAGTATATATACTAATGGGTTTCAAATCCCACATTAAAAAAACATTATTTTTTTATAGGAGTATAGAATATATATACGAAAAGGTTTCAAATCCCATATTGAAAAGATATTATGTTATCTTTTAAGTTGAAATATTTAAATCAAAAGATTTTTTATCCCACATTGAAAAAACATGAGTTTTTTCTTGGAAACATAGAGTATATATACTAATGAGTTTCAAATCCCACATTGAAAAAACATTATTTTTTCATAGGAATATAGAGTATATATACGAAAAGGTTTCAAATCCCATATTGAAAAAATACTATGTTATCTTTTTAAATTGAAATATTTAAACCAAAAGATTTTTTATCCCACATTGAAAAAACATGAGTTTTTTCTTAGAAACATAGAGTATATATACTAATGAGTTTCGAATTTCATATTGAAAAAATATTATTTTTTCATAGGAATATAGAGTATATAAACGAAAAGGTTTCAAATCCCATATTGAAAAGATACTATATTATCTTTTTAAGTTGAAATATTTAAACCAAAAGATTTTTTATCTCACATTGAAAAAACATGATTTTTTTTTGAAAACATGGAGTATATATACTAATGGGTATCAAATCCCACATTGAAAAAATATTATTTTTTCATAGAAATATAGAGTATATATACGAAAGGGTTTCAAATCCCACATTGAAAATATATTATGTTATCATTTTAAGTTGAAGTATTTAAATAAAATAGTTTTTTATCCCACATTGAAATTTTTTTTTTTTTAACATAGAGAATATATACTAATGAGTTTTAAAAATATTACTTTTTTCTTTGGAACATAGAGTATATATATTAATGAGTTTTAAATATCACATTTAAAAAAAAAACCGGGTCTCGTCCGGGTTTGCCCGGGTCGTCCGGGTCATGGGTTGACCCGCCGGGTCACCCGGGTTTGACCGGGCTGTTGCCACAGCCGGTCTTTTATTAAACCCGAACTGGTCTAGGCACCGGGTCGGCCGGGTCCCGGGTTGACCCGCCGGGCCGGGCCGGGTTTAATAACACTGCTGGTGAGGCTTAGAATCCCTTTTTTCTTTTTCTTTTTTCTTTCTATTATTATTCATTTGCCTGCAATTCCATGTATGTTGACAAAGGGAATATCACCAGACCTTCCACTCTTGTTAAAATAACAAAAAAAAAGAAAGATAGGTTATGTCACCATGCCACATTCAGGATTTTTAGGTCATGGTTTGGCAGAGGGGTAAGCCTACCTAAATTGGGCACAGCTGCAGCTGCTACAAGGAAGACTTGAAGCTGGCTAGTTTGTTTGAAATTAAGGTGAGTTTTAGGGAGCAGTCAAACATTAAAAATATAACCATAAGCATAGACTTGTAGTTGGCAAGTTTGTTGGGACTTTTAGCGTGTTCAAAGTCGAAACATCCCACTTTAAGTTATCCAGAAAAAGATGTTTTCCAAATCTTCCTCCAGCCGCGATCTATTATCATAGAGATGATCTATAAGCTTCCCAAAATGCGGGCAGTGCTCGTGATATGATGTCTCCAGCTACAAAATGGCAAAGCTTGGTAAGAACATGATGGGCAAGAAACTAGATGAAAACAGCAAGATGCTACAGTGCCGTCCATGTAATCTAGGCCCTAGCCAAGACTCTGGAATTGAAGATTCACCAAATGGTGGAGTCACGATCAGCTAACAAACCATTTTCAATCTCTCGTACCAATGTGCCGAACAGAGGAAACGTGCAAACATCAACGTTATGACTTTAATATTTATGGCATGTCACTGTCTTTTCGGTTTGAAATCTTGATTATAAAAAAGCTATAAATATATAATTTATAGTTTTTTTTTTTAAATTTAGTTTTTCAAACGTAAAATCTACTACAACATCTAACATATTTACATAAAAAAATATATTTATGAAAGAGAGCACCTGTTGTTTGATATAAAATTGTATATGAGTCGTAAAAGAAAAACACATGACCATTGCTAGCCTTCGTAGTCATCATAACATCATCACCAACCCGTAAAGCTAAGGATATGATGAAGTGCTCTGGTCGTTCACGTTCCATACTTACGACGAGACAGACTATAAAAGAGGGCAAGGCGGAAGGATAGTTAGGTTCTTTTCATGAGAAGTGAAGCTCTACATATTTGGCAATTCATTTCCTATGGGCGATAGAACAGAAGATTTGCCATTGCCATTGCTTGGAAGCTTTCATTCAGCTAATGAATCAGAAGAGCCTCTCAAAAGAACTGGTATTTAATCTCCTTCACTTACCTTTCCATGTCTAGTCTTCATGTCATCTCTTCTTCTTACAGAACATAAAGAGAAAGATAATATTTTGCTTTAAGGTTTTTAGACTCTTTTGTTAACAATGACTTTCCTCCATAATCTTAGATCCCAAAAAAAGGTTTCCTATAGATTTTCATGTTCTTAATCTAATTAAGGTTGGTGGGTTGTGTGGTAGGTTTGAATGGTAGTTGCATTTCTCCTTGAAATTTCTGTAATGGGCAGAAAAAATAAACGGGTGCCGGGGATCGAACCAAGGCCACCCGCGTGTCAGGCAGGAATACTCAACACTAATATGATAACTCATTTTAAATTAAATACATGGAAAGATGGGGACGAGAACTCCTGATTGTTCGAAATTTCTTGCCACATTTACTTCCCAGTCCAGGTCTCCATTAAGCTATGATGACTGCCCCTAAAACCATCTCCCTTCCATATTGGACTGATTTTATTTTGTTTTTTAATACTTGAAGGGACCATATGGACTGCAACAGCACATGTTATTACAGGAGTGATAGGGGCAGGAGTATTGTCACTTGCATGGAGCATAGCTCAACTAGGTTGGATTGCAGGTCCTTTATGCATGATATTTTTTGCAGCAATCACCATTGTTTCCACGTACCTTCTTTGTGACTGCTATAGATTTCCTGATCCTGAACATGGCCCCATCAGAAATAGGTCCTACATGGAAGCTGTCAAGTTTTATTTGGGTGAGTAGTATCTATACACGTCTTTGTATTGTTCCATACACAAGGGTATAACTGTTGGGGGAGTGTTGGTCCCCATAAATGAACGAGATCATGATTTAAGCATGGTTATTACACCTATTCCAGCTTGGCGGGTCGAACTTATTAATTCAAGAGCTGATCCATATTGGTTTTCAAATTCAATAAAGTGAGAACTGACCTTGTCAAATCTAACGGACCTAGTAGGACAATCCACGACTCAAAGAAAACTTATTTGATTTTTTAATTTATTTTTAAAACAACTTTGTTTATCTTTTTTATTTTAAAAATAAAAATCTTGAGTCGATCAAACTAACCCGTAATCGGGATCTTGGGCCTGTCTTGGGTTCCTTTTTAACTAATAATCATGCCAGAGTGATTACACATCTATCTAGGTTTTATCTAACCTGATCAGCCAAAGAGTCTCCAAGTTCTTTCGACTTAAAAAAGAGAGACAATATATATGGAGTGCAAACCGTAGAACCGGATCATCCTAATTATTAGTAGTTACAAACAATAAAAATATGTTCCATTTTTAAATTTCAGTTGCAGTATGTTGACTATGATGCAAAAAACGTATCCCTTTCACCAACTTCTGTTACGTATGACACACAATCATTGACTAAGGCATTGAATTATAGTCTAGCAGTTGTTGTCTTATTGATTCCTTAAATAATCAGTGGCCTCTAGTGTACTTAAACTGCTCGCTGTTTATTTTATAATGAAGTAGTGAGTTCAGAATTCTGACAACATAGATAATTCAATTTCAGGAGGGAAAAGCCAAGTAGTGTGTGGAATATTTGCCGAGGAGAGCTTATATGGGTGTGGAATTGCCTATACCATTACTTCTGCTGGTAGCATAAGGTGTGAGACTTCAACCCTTCTCTGCTTTCTTCCTAATTTTCTATATGATGAACTTGTTTGAGAAACTTGAAAAACATGCAGCCAAAATCTCGAGTTGTTCTATGCTTTATTGATGTTAGATAACTTCGAGTTACAAGCAAGAATTTCATTTTGTCTTGTCCTTCCAACTATTTCTGTTTTTGCCAAGTGACTGCTCTAATTATTAGAAAACTTGCACCCTTGTGATTCATTGCCCCAGTGGTCCATTCTCTGGTGAACTCAATCTTAGTGAGCTGTTGTTTTTCATGAATATTTCTTGAGGAAGAATTTGCCTATCCAAAGCAGAATTTCACATCTTTGTTTCTGTGATTTGTTATATATTTTGATTGAGATGTTCTTAATAGTAGTGAGTGCAACTAAAGATACCACTTGATTGCTTTAACAAGCAAGTATCTTTGGCAAATCACAAAATGTCTAAAAAGTTCAGAAGTTTCAGAGAAAGTCCTGTCAACAAAGTGAGATTTGATGATACAATAGCCAAGATGCCACTACCTGCTTTAGTTCACACCTTTTGAATGATCCAATCAAACTACATGGTCCATGAAGATTGCTTTTCATGTTGGGGGGCAATATATTTTCTGAGCCTCACATATGCTAACCTTTTCTTTTGTCTTTCTGTCAATGCCAAGCCTCCTTGTTTTAGTAGTTCTTATAGGGAAAG